TAATTAAGGAATCCAAATAAGCATAGGTATTAGACTACCTTTAAAAGTAATGGAACACGATTTAAGTGAGTAGATCAACCCTAAAACTATGTCAATACCTGAATGGCATATATATTATTGGAATGCGTGTTCGTCTTTTAAAGTTTGGCTCGATGATAGTTTTGGAAGTATTCAGCTCAGCTCAACTCTAGAACGCATTCAGTAGTAAGGATTTGATATTTGTTAGACAAATCGACCACGAAGACCAAATTGAATTTAACGGAAGTATAGTATGTATCTGAAATTCAGAAACGTCTGGATTACCCTGAAAACCCCCAAATAACATGAATAAACATGAATGCTAAATGAATTAGGTAACCTCAATGACTGAGGATTTAGTAAGTGATTTGGATAAGTCTGGAAATTCTGATGAGTTTACATAGTGTACAATTACGATGGTTTATGATTAAAATAATCAAGTACGTCAACATTACATGATATTGTGGAAGCGTGGAAATGAAATAAAGAGTAAATACCCTGGAAGGGTAATGCATTAACCAGTCGATAAGTATTAGTTCTGGGAGTTGTTCAGCTCAAGTTGTTCGGTATTCTGATAGATCGACACAAATCGTAAATGTTTCGAATCTTCGTTTCTTCCTTATCAGCTCAATTCACATTCTGAATAATTGATGATTCTGTCAGTTAATGAACTCTTTCAATAGTGATTCTAAATTCCAACATTCTATCGACATACTGAAGATCTGTGTTTCTCTGCCTGATACAGTACCTCTAAATAATATTCGTAAACTTTGGTGTGTTTCCTAATCATATGAATATTTTATATGGTTTCCGATTTGAAATATGTTCTGATTTCTTATCTGAATTTTGATCTGATTTCTGATCTGGATTCTGTTCTGATATATGATATGAATTCTGCTTTGATTTTTGAAATCTCCGTTTATTGACGAAAATATGTTTTATTTGGGGGTATTGTTGGAGGAAGAATATATACAGGCTCCTCGGCTTTGTGCTCAGGGCTTCACTGTTGTGCCGGGGTTGTATGGTTCTGGGGAACCTACATATTATGATGTGTTCGGTTGGGGGATTTACTATGGTTTTTGATAAATGTTTTGTTTGGGGGTTATTGTTGGAGGAAGAATATATGAAGGCTCATCGGCTGTGTGCTCAGGACCTTACTGTTATGCCGGGATTGTATGGTTTTGGGGAACCTACACATTATGGACATGTGCGGTTGAGGGAATTACTATGATTTCTAAATTTTTAAAAATATGTTTTGAAAAGATATGTATCTTTTCACTGGTTTTGCGGGAACACACTAGATAACCTATTCTGATCTCCTGAACCTAGACATCCGAAATATTTCTCTAAATTGAAAGCTCATTGTCCGTTACCATCTGAAATACCAGTAGGATTTCCGCTCAACATAAGGATTTGTAGATGTCTGAACCGATAAGAAAAATATATGTTTATCTGTATCTGCACGTTCATCAGCATCATCTGGTAGTTCTGTATTACTGCGCTTTTCGAAGTTTACTCTATTACTCACCTTTGCAGGTTAAAAGAATCGTACAGTATATCTATCGACATCAGTAAGGGAGTTCTTCCAGGGTTGCTTGCAGAGTACGCTACATGTGATTAGGGGGCATGTAATTGTATTTTGTTTTATATATGAGTCTGAAAATCTGTTTTATTTCTGTATACTGAGAAATTATTTTATAAGTTACATGTTTTAATAAAAGTTTTAAATTTTCCGCTATTTTTTACAGTGGGTCGCTCTGGTGGCCCTAATGTGACACCTCAGATCAGATCGGGTCATCCGTATCGGTCTGGGGGGTTACAATTCTGAAACAAAATCAACAACTACAATTACTTTCATGACAATTTATGTTATACATATTTGTCTATTTTGAGATTTTTAGTAAACCCGTTACGACTGCAAGATAAATCCCGAAACAAATTTGTTTACTATCTCATTTTTCCTACAATTCCGAATTATCTTGGATCAAGAAAGGTACAAGATGAAAAATCTATCATAAGATTGTTGACCGAAGAAATAATCCGAGACAAAAATGAAACCTGATAAAAAGTAAAAGGAAGAAATCTTATTCTTTATAATAAAAGAGAATTAAAAAAGAAATAAAAATACTCTTTTATATTTGATCTTGTGATCGAAATCAGTTGAGGCTGTCACTATACAGTTTTCTTAAAATAGATTTTCGACCACTCCTTGTTGCTTGAGATCTTTTGGTCGTCTGTCTCCCATGATACAACAATTTGATGATCAAATACAATAGTACAACAGTAAAGATCACAAACTTTTATTGCCTTCGACTATCACCGGTAAAACTAAGGGAGAAAAAGAATATTTTCTAAGAATGAGAGAAAATATTTTCAAGAGAAGAAAACTTCTTGAATTCTGAGGTATGAAAAACTGCGAGAATTGCTAAATATTTATAAGGGAATTTCGAGATAGTTTTACTCTAACGAAAACTCTTTTAATATCTAAATTTAAATAGATAATAATATCTTTTAAATTTAAAATATTGAACTTGAGAGTTTAACTCCAACCAAAACTCTTTTAATATCTAAATTTAAACATAATAATATATTTTAAATTTAAAATATGGGCACTTTTCCGTTGAAGAAGCTCCACCCGACCTCCCCCCCGACGACCAAAACCCCTATGAAATCATGACCGATTGATGATCGACCGACGACAAATCGACGATTTAAATCCCGCGAACCCTACAATAAAAATCACGATCACACGCGATTTTGACAATGAATCACGACAACTACGGTGACATATAACTAGGATGATGGTAAGGACTACGTCAGGGGCGACGGTTGTGGGAGAGGGCGGCGATGGTGGATTAAGATTAGGATTTGGAGTTTTGGGGTTGTTTTATAAAATAAGAAAAGTTAGGTTTTTTATAAATATAATAGTATTTTAAATATTTTTTAAAATAATTTTTAAAATTACTAGGTTGTGACACGTGTCACTAGACGGAGAAAACTAATGTCGTTGACAGCTCGGACACCTAAAGTGCTAACGTCTTTAACGTTAGGCACCCGGATGGCCCAAAAAAAATATAGGCACTTATTTGGCACAAAGGGTATAGTTTGGACAGTTATTTGAGAATTAAGCCTTCTAAATTTAACCATGTTACCACCATCATGGTTTACTCCCTCATAGGCTTCTGTGCTCTCTCTTGCTTCTTACACTTCACCGACAGTTTCATGACGCCTTGAGGGATGACCCTTTTCGAGCTTGATCTCCAAGTCGAATCCCCGAAGGACAATAGGTACAAGGTTGGACTTACGGATTTCGTTCATGCCAGCATGTCGGTGTTAGTGTTCATGACGACCGCTTTCCCGGATCATAGAGTTACCAACTGTGTTTTTCCAGGACACGAAAAGGAGACGGATCAAGATATGCAGGGTTTTCCACTAATGGTGAGGATTATTTGCAGCGTCTTGTTTCTTGTGTTTCCCAAAACTAGGTTTGGCGTTGGTTGCATGGATACTTGATATTTAACATCATGGTTTCGATTTAGTGTCTTAATATAGATAGATTTAAATTTGAAATGATTTTCTAATAATAAATTTCTTCGATTCGTGCCTGCAGAAGAATATTACGTTGTTACTGATTTTGTATTTTTATTCTGATATGGAGTATTTGACTAAAAAAGTCTAAATATCATCTTGTAAAGCACCCTGTATCTTATTATTATTAGCTTTATATATTAGATTGTTCAAGAATCAATCTCGGCTCCCCCATTTCACGACTACATCATAGTAGGCGGAGGAATTGTCGGTTGTCCTTTAGTTGCAACTTTGTCTGACCACAAATGTTTAATTTTGATCATAGAAAGAGGAGGGTCTCCCTATGACAAGCCTAACAAGCAAAGAGAACTTCTTGCTTACTCTTTTAGATCCCTCACTCACTCGATTCATATTCTCAAGCATTCGTTACGGATGATAGGGTATACAACCACCAAGCACTGATTTTCGACGGTGGCTCCATCAACACAGGATTTTACATGCATGTTGAAACTGAGTTTATAAAGGTATCCGGTTTGAATGAGCTAGCTCTGATAAATGATTAGTACCAGTGGGTTGAAAAGGAGGTATTCAACGCACCTGTGTTAAAGTGGTAATCTGATGGACTTTTACCATTCAACGGAATCACGTACTACCTCAAAGTGTAACTAAGAAAACGATCAAGTGAACAAAAAAAATCTAATATATAAAGCTTTATTATTAAATAAAAAAGTTTTAAATTACAGTGATCAAAATAAGAGAAAAAAAAATCAGTTGTTAATTTTGTAATTTACCCTTTTTCCCGTTTGAAACAAAGCAAGTACATAGGTAGAGATGGAAGCAATTAGAAGGCATCTATAATTTTTGACATAAGGTTCACTCTATCCAAATTATTGTTTTCGTCATTATCATATTTTGATCAATTTTACTCTTAAAGTTGTTTAATTTAATCATTCTAAATTCTAATTCTAACGTAAGATTCTAAATTTTAAATCATAAACTCTAAACCCAAAACCCTAATTAAATATATAAACAATATTAAATATTTTAAACATTGATGCAATTGATTAACTAAAAATATGATAGAGACGAAAATGATAAATTGAGTCTACTACAGAGACAAAAATGACATTTTCACCTTAATTTTTTAAAACCCTAAGTAGAAAAACAGAAAATAAAACAATATATATATATATATATATATATATATATATCATGTAAAATTAAGTGACTCTATTTGAATTTAAAAATTAATCTATTAATTATTAAAATTTTGAATTATTCAAATTATATTTTACAACTCGTATCAAATGCTATACTTTAAAAATAATAATAATAAAATTTATGAAATTATAAATATAATCAAATTAAGTTGAATTTAACAAAAATATTTTTTTACTCAAGTCGCCTGCTTACCGTACTGCTTTACTCGCTCTCTCAACTTTCTCCCCCAACCAACATTGAACTGTTTTGGGTTTATGTTTTAGTATTATTTTTCTCCAAATTCCCGTGAGGGTTTTTGTTCTATTTTCTTCTCAACCAAACAGACACGCAACTAACCCCTCTCTCGTCCTTAATGCTAAATGGAAAATCCTGGTGAATGTTTCTCTCAATTAGACATATCAAAAGAGGTAATTTTTTCTTTTGCTTCAGTTTCTGCTAATACCTTTCGAAATGATAATCCAATCTGTTAAAAAGTTGGTTTCTTTTTCTGATTTTGTTTTTGGTAGGAAAAAGACAAGCTTGTTGCAGAAGTAATTCGTTACATACTATTTAAAACGCATCAGAACTCAGGACGTCCAATTAAAAGGGAAGAACTCTCTCAATTAGTCACTAAAAACTATCGTCACTTTTCACTTCCTGCTTATATCATCAACCAGGCTAAAGAAAAACTCTCCTCCATCTTTGGTTACGAATTGAGGGAACTTCAAAGATCTCGCCCTTCTTCCACAAACCAGTCCTTGCTATCTCAACAAAGTAACAATATATTGTCGCCCTTTGTTTGAAATTCTCTTGATTCGTATAATTTTTTTTTCTCTAACTTTAATTTCGATGACGTTTGTTGTTTTCAAGGTGGAATTGATGCCAAATCATATGTTATCATAAGTCAGTTACCTGCTGATGTGTATAAGAAATATGTTGAGGATGTGAATACATCTCATATGAATGGCTTTACTTTTGTTGTGATTAGTATCGTGCAGCTTGCCGGAGGCAAAATTGCGGAAGGTACACTTTATTGATCAATGTATGAGCTTTAAAATTTTGGTTATGAACTTGTGAGGCCAAACTTGCTTTGTGTTTGTGTGAATCTGCTTTTTCTTTGTCTTGTATGTTTATAGATCATATACTTGGTAGGCTGTCCTGTATTACTCTCATTCGAGTGAATTTATCTGGCTGAAAGTTAATTATCAACTTATCACATGATTAATAGTGTTTTCTTGATGAATTAAGGATTGAATTTGATTTTCTTTTTTCCTGCACGTGAACTAATCCACTTGTGCAGATAACCTTTGGCATCATTTGAAGAGGATGGGATTGCATGAAACCGATGAAAACCACCCAATACTTGGCAATGTGAAGCAGTCACTGGAGATGTTTGTCCATCAAAGGTTAGGGCCTACCCAATAGTTCGTTGTTCATAATGCTGTTTACTTTCAACAACCAGTTGACCTGGACAGTTTCTTAATGGCTATTCCTGTATTCTTCTTGTAGATATAATGCTGAGAGAGCTCTGGAGGGAACTGTAAGTGAGAGAATTAAGCAATACCTAACACAGGTATTGATAACATATGCTCTGTCTGGTCTTTATGGCTGATATTTTACTCAAGCATTTCAAGTAATTTTTAAATGCATTTACACTGCCTGGTGTCTTCATGATCAAGCACTGCTTTTTCTCTCTGATAACTTTTTTTTTCATGTAAATTTGATTTGAGCAAGTTCCATGAATACAACTTGTAACACCCCCAACCCGTATCCAACCCGAATATGAGTCTGAGGTATCACATCGACTTTTAAACCGTTTCTTTTCACAAAATAGCTAAAGAATTTCAATTTCACATTTAAATCAAAACTGAATAAATTACGTTAATTAAAAACATTTGGTTTTACATATCCTATTAGAACATATTCAACGCAAAGCTCTTAGTACATGCCAACGACATTTAATATACCAAAATACATATGATTCAAAACACTTTTCTGATCTGATCTTCGGAAAGGAGAAGCTGACTTGTCTTGCTCCTCTGTGCTTCTTAATCTTCTCGAAACCTACGTGTGAAACATTCACACGCTAAGTCTATGACTTAGTGAGGCATAAAAAAACATATAATATAACCTTTAACTACTAACAATGCATGAACATTTCATACTATCATTTCACACCAAATCATATAATATTTCATATAGCAAAATGTATACATACACATAGGTCATCATTATCCTCACTAATATTCTTATCATTATCATTAATACCATTTATCATATAATATTATACTTATCATTTATAAAATCCATATAACACATTTCACCACAAAACACACAACACACATACTTTATTTATATTGTATCGTTTAATTGCCCATGGTATACTTGGGAGAACTAAAGATATGTGAGTACATAGTGGTGCACATATGCTGTCACCACAGCTCGTATAGGGTCCCACTAGGGGCATGTAAAATTTGTCCCGAAAGACCATATAGATGTCCCGAAGAACCACATATCATATAACATATATGTCCCAAAGGACCATATATAACCCTCGACTCTTGACATGCCAACTATACCCTTAGCTCTCTTATCACGTAACATGGGCTTTATCACTTATGTTATTTCACATATTCATATAGGCATGTGGTTCACTTACACGTAGGAAATTTTCATATGATTCACATATCACATAGCTTATCACATATGCTTGTATTCTTTTTCACATAATCACATAGTCATATAATGTTTCATATATTCACTTAGATAGTCACATATACATTTTCTCATATATCTCATAACATATATCATATATGCATGCCTTCACTTATATCATATCATATAGTTTATGTTTTGTTCTCTTATGTTCACATAACATATAATGCATACAAGTCATATTCACACAATATCAATCCTAATCATTATTTTACTAATACAATCATATTTTTCCAAATGTAGGAAACAAACTTGTCGCAAATCTAATTTCCCATTAGCTAATATTTCCTACCCGTATGCAGTCACCTGGACTCACTAGTCAATTCAAGCACTTATAACTCTTTCTTGATCGATCTTATCTCGTTACCTCATCAAATACTTGCTTTCGTTCGATATCTACACAATTGTACATTTGATACTAAAATTAGAATTCTAAACCTTATGAATCAATCATCAATAATCTTATTTAAAAGAAACATCTAATTCACATTTTTACTTTGAGTAGTATCGGTACCGAAGGTATGGTACCGATACTTCCCTAGCTATGGTATCAATACCAAGCCTGGGTATCGATACCCAAATTGCATTCTGTAATCCTTATTTCAAAATGGTATCGATACTGTCCTTATGGTATCGGCACTCTTGGTATTGATACTACCCCTTTAGGCATCGATACTCTTTGAATAACTTATCAAATTTCGACTTATGGTATCGATACTGTTCAACCAGTATCGATACCCCTATCCCAAATCTCACCTATTTTCCTTTGAAGTACCGGTATTGGATGAATCAGTACCGATACTCCTAACCCAGAATTCACTCCTTTAGCCTTAAAATTTACCAATCCCAACCTAAACCTTTCGTTTTTAATCCCTTTTATGCCATTAAACTCAACTACACTTACTTAAATCAATTTATATCCATATAACACATCATTGTCTTCAATATCTACACATATAACTTGAAACCAAGAATCTCACTACATTTTCAACATGTTCTAATTTCATTTCTAACACTTCTAACTTCTTAATTAGATCCTTGACAAGTCAAATATGGCTTAAAAATCCATTTATAACTTCTTTCTCATCAATTCACTTAAATCCTTCTTTTATTAAATCACCCATAACTTGTCCATCTTTTTGTTTTACACCACTATAACCTTTCCTTAAGCTTTCTTAACACTCCAATAATCAAAACCAACCTTAAAATGAAAGAATTAATCCATAGAAAGCATACTCACCTTATGCAGGAAGAACCCACGGTGAAGAGGAAGAAGAAAGCTGAAGAATGCTCTGGATATCTCTTACTCTTTCTTTCCCCTTTTCCACGTGTTATAATATTCTCTTCATACATTTTTAATTATTTTCTTCTCAAATGACCATTATGCCCTTTTCATTTCCTAACTTTATTATTCAATCCTGCTCCAAGAAATTCTCATTTAAGTCCCTAAACTTTTCAATTTTCCGAAATTGATCACATAGTTTCAAAAACTTTCATTTTAGTCACCAACCCGGTTTTTGGGATGTTACACAACTAGTAGTGAAGCTTTTCCTTTCCATCGGTAATTGTAGTTGTATATGTCATAGGTGTTCATTAGAAATACATGATATACTCAATGTTATAATGTTGTTGCTTTAATGTGCTACAGTAAAACTATTTTCCTTGGAGAGAGTACTTTTTTGTTGCACAATACAGCCGCAATAAAGACTTTCCTTATCATCAATAATTTGTGCTTATGTACAACCATGTATAGTACATTCATGAAACTGTTGCAGATACAGATTTGAAACTATAGATTCTGGTTTTGCTTTCATTTTTGTGGACCTTCATTTTTTACAGGGTAACTTTTAGGGAAAATGCAGCTAGCTATTCGTACAAGAGTATAGATACATGCCAGTTACAAAAAGACTTGCATTCTGCTGGCTCTTTGCTATCATTGATATTTGTTCAACTTATAAGACAGAACATTGATGCTTTGAAATATTGTATTCTAGGACAATGAACTTTCTATAATGCATTCTCATAATCATTTAACATTGATGCCTTCGATATTGTTATTGATGGTACTGACCTGAAGGGATGTCTTATGTTGGCAGATTGTGAAGAAAGATGATACCACTGGATATCTCGTGACAGCTTGGTGCTAGCTCTTACCAAGTAAATAGAGGTGGATGTTCGACTTCTTGCTCCATGGCTGATTCATTAGTGAATGAAGCTCAGTTCCTCGTTGGTTTTTTTTTTGTGCAGTAGGTTTAGGAGCCTTAGTAGTTTTTTGGGGTGCAGCTCCAATTTCTGTTGATTTTGTTCATTGTTAGCTGGGCGCCAAGCTTGGTTCAAGGCAACAGTTCAAACAGGTTCATTTTGGTTTTAGACATTTGTGTATACAACTGAACAAAGTGGTTAATGGGTGGCCCATTATGGTTATGGATGGTAATGATGTGAGGTGATTATTGTGGTTAGTGAGTAGAGCCTATTTTGGTTTAGACATTCTGATATATACGCATAAACATAGGGATGTCAGTGGGACGGGTTTCACGGAACCTCCCACTTCGCACCAAATTAGACGGGATGGATACAGGTTTCGAGGTAATAAAGACAAAAACAATCTCTCTTTTCATTCACTTTTTCTTATAGAACATATTCAGAATTTATTTTCTTTTCACCAAAGCAAAACCTAAGAGATTTTCGCCATTGGAAAGGTCAATTACAAGTATCGAACAAGTTAAATAACCACCCCACACGTCAAACACCAAAGTGAGAAAGATGCAAGTGAAAATAATTAGTCTTTGCAACTCCAAATAATAGTATAGAACATGGAATTTAGGTCTACTATTATTTAACAAAAAGTTGCAAACATGCTTTGAAGAAGCCAAAAATGGCATAAGCCAGATGACAGCTTGCAGTTATCGGCAGTAGCCTATTTACAAGTTGAAGTGCTGCTTTATGTGTAAACGTCATGTAATCTAGATCATCAACAAATGATAAATAACTAGTACAGGGTCAATATAACATAGCATAATTCAAATTAACACAAAAGCTAGTGTATTGAAAGAATTCAAGAAACAACAAGGCTCCCTGCTTCCCGGAGATTGCGGCCAAACATTCCATAGGAAACAAATATAGCTACATCCCACACCAACCTGAGTTAGTGACATCCAGTTATTGGCACTGCACGGCTTGTGTTGGCATCACCGATCGAGACGGTTGCAAGGGATTTAGAGGCCCATGCTCTAGCATTCATTGCTCCTTGTAAATTGCTTCTCTTGCAAGGTTCCTTCAGGGAATTAAACAGTTGAATCGCCCGTTTCAGATATGCCAGAGGGTGTTCCAACAGAGCCCCCAATTTCACATTTTGGATCAACAGTGTCCAAATTAACTGTGCAATTACAAGCATAGTTGGATACAATAGGTAAAGCAATCTTAAAAGCACAAAAGTGGTGGCCAGAGCCAAATATGTCTCTTGTCGAAGTAAATTCTCTGGAGATCTTGCCCATGGGAATGGGCAGCTTTCCTGCTCAGTGCTATTATGCTTCTCATGATTCGACATGCGACTGATTCTGCCCAATGATATTTGATCCAGACAATTCTTAATGCCTAGAACAATGGCAAAGCAAATATGTTAGCCATGATATGCATAGCTTCCAGATGTAGAATATTATTAAACCCCATCAAACTTTGTTTTCAATCAAACTCCCCATCTTGGAAATGAATGAATCACAAATTAACATTCCTTGATGGGGAGAAATTTTGAAGGGAACATTAAAGGAGGTATGAAACTATAAATCATTAAAGCCCACCCAAAGAAGGGGGAAAAATTAAGAAACAAAAAACTCCTTAAGGAAGCATTTACTATGGAAAGCAGGATCATAGATAAGTATATCTAATAAGACACTACAAGATTCCCCTTCAGTTAATTTTATCTCATTTTGCATCATCTTATCCATGATGGATTATGCAATCTTATGATGAGAAGCAGGTTTGCAATAGTTTGGATTGGATTATGAGTGGGATACTATGGCATATTTGTCTTTACGTAAGCCAAAACAAAGACACAATGAGGACATTTATTACTCAAGACTACCTTATCACTCTTATCCTACTGAATCCATAATCTTACGCACTAAACACAAAAAAAAAGAGAAATATCAATTTAGCACCAGACAGACAGGTTAATCACACAACTCACAAACTAGAACCATAAAGCATTTTTAACCCAAAAATTAAAATAAAAACTGCATAAAAAGTATGCCATTAGTCAAAACATATGAATATCTCCACTTTAAATCTACTATACGTATCAACTCGATGAAACATAGATATCACAAAAATCCAAAAGTTGCAGAGCAAAGGCCTTACCAGTGACATCACCATAGAATGCACTGACAGATTTCAAAGACCGGTTTCCATGATAACGAGCACGCATTGTAGAATTTAAAAGGAAAAGAGTAGGAAACCCGTGAACTCCATACTTTGAGAGTATGCTGAAGAAATCAAAACCAAAATTCAGTTTAGCAAGATAAACATACTCAATTACTCATAGCATGGAAATACTAAATTACAGATATTCATTTGCAAACCTTGGCCTGACAGCTGCTTCATCTATGGCAAAATGAGGAATAGAAGGATAAGAAGAAGAAAGGATATTGAAGCTTGGTCTAAAAGACCTTGAAAAGGGGCACCAAGATGCATAGAAAAGCACTGCTACATATTGATTACTGTTCTTGTAAATCATGTTAAGCGCCTTTTGCAATGAAACCTCGTCCCCCTTAACCATATCAAAGAAAAAGTGTAATTAAAAATCACGCAGAAAAGAAGTACAATCATAATTCAAGTCAACTTCGAATATGAATTTGTCTAAATAATGTTAGTTCCTTTAGACCCAATGCAATGAACTAACAGAAATAAATAGATTTAAGATATCTCCAATTCCATCAAGACCAATCGTAAGATTCTTGAGAACTAATCCAGCAAATTCATAAAAAAATGCAAAAATGGATGATATTTGTGTGTGTGATCATATATTTCTCAGCCCATACGTGACAATTAGCGTATTTTCCCTAATTTTGAGAAATCATGCTCCAACCTTTCTAAAGCAACCAAAATGGAAAACCCTAAATACATTCTTTTTTTTTTTGCGTATCCTTATCAGCTTATAAAAAAAAAAGCTTCTAACTTATAATTTCCAAAACCTCAAATCAGGCGGAAAAAAGAGAATTTAAAAGAAAGGGATATAATGAATACAAAATGAAAGGGGAAAAAAAGGGAAGGAAATGAAAGAATGCGAAGGTACTTCGGTAACACCAACGAACTCGATAGATTCGGTATGTGCAGAGGTAATTGGACAATAAGAGTCTCGGAAGTCAAAGATCGCGTCGGGAACGGAGACCTTGGGACATAACGGAACCCTAAAGGGAACGAAGACGGCGTACGTTAGCCTCCACCAGAAAACCAATATTAGCAACCTCCTTTGCCATGCCTTCGCACCCATCAACTACCGACTATTATTTGCCGATTGACACAATTTTTTCTTTTTTTTAAAAAAAAAAAGGCTGGCAAATTATATATAAAACCCTATAAAGGAATTCCAGATATACTTCAATCGGGAAAAGGATGAAAAGCTGTGGCACAAATTTGTATATATATATATAAACACAGATATTTTGGGTATTTTAATTCGGAAGGATCGGAGTAGGAAAGAGTTAACAGAAAGTTGATTTTTGGTCATGGTTTATAAAATAATCGATCAATCAATAAAATTTATGATAACCTATACTATGGTCGTCTAACTGTTAGGATCATTATACTTCAACCATCCAAATCAAAAAGCGTTCATTTTAGTCACCAAGAAAAACTTTCTCAATTACTTTACTGTTAAACCCTGATGATTATGAAGGTTGAGAATCAAACCCGAAACCTTTGATATGGTACCCAACAAATAGCCACTGGATTAATTTGAGTAATAATGTTATAGGATTAAGAATTAATATTTTTAAAATTTAATTGGTATTAAATTTATTATATTTATTTTATGAAAATATATTGATTATAACGTAAAATTTGAAGTATTATTATAAAATTATATTTATAACACTAATTAAAATATATTAATTTTATAAAAAAACATTATAATATTAATTATGTTACCATTTAGGTTATAAATATATTTTTATAATATATATATATATATATATATATATATAACTAGGTGGATACAAGGTAATGTCTATTTAAATGCTCTCAACTATTTGAAAATGAACGGTTACATTCCTACATATACAGTGTTCAAACATGAGACTTCAAAGGATAACAATAAATCTCTTAACCACTTTGATTCATGCTAAAATAAATAAAATGAGAGTAAATTAAATCAATGGTCACTAATATTTGAGTAAATTTTCATTTTCCCCGTTGAAGTTTCAAAAGTAACAAATTGGTCACCAACCTTATAAATTTGTAACAAAATGATGAATCCATTGTTATCTCCATTAAAAGTTTCAAATAGGTCCTTGAACAATAATTTCATATTAAATTTATCCCTAAAATTTTCTAATTTGAAAAAAGAAAAGGTTCTAATGATTATCGGTTAGGAATTAGCCAATTTGTAAATTTCGAGAAAGGATACGAGAGCGACGATGTTACTTTGAACGTTAACATTATTAACGAATGACCAGAAAATTGTGGGTTAGTTTTTACTTGAATCTTTGAATTTGGTCCGCTAATAATTATTTGGGAAATTGAGTTATTTCCCATGCGAACGTAGTTTCAAAATTGATCTAAAACATCAAGATCAAAACTACCAAAATTGCATAACAGACAAACCTTTAAACTATTGAATTTTAAAACAAAATAGAAAAGCCCAATAAATATCAATAATGGAGAGAACACACCAAATTTACGAGGTTCAACAAAATTATCATCTACTCCTCGTGCACCACCAACGGATGATAACTTCACTATCAACAAAATATTACAAAAAATGGAGTTCCTTAGAATTCCCAAAATATTATAAAGTGGGAGGATGAAGAAAACAAATATAAGAGATGATTTTTGGGATGATTTCAAGTGAAAGTGCTTAGGCCTGTTTATAGTTGATCTTCAAGGATCAACTTATAAATAACCTAAAAGTTTAGGGACTAAAGATTAATTTTCCCATGTACAAAAGGTTAGTCATTTTCCAACTTGAATCAACTTGTAAATTTGTATTGCCAACTTGTGTAGCAAATTCAAACTTGATTTCTTTAGTGCTAACAAATTTGAAATTGAATTCTTTGATGGCTACCAATTTTGACCAACATTTGTTGACTTTCCAACTTGTAGCTTGTAAAAATACAAGCTACACATAACAAATCTCCACCTTGACTTGATATTTCCAAGCCTACTCAACTTCTTCAACTCCACAAATCTGATGAGGTTATCCTTATATAGTGATTCTAATTGCGCTCACAAGCATCGTACACCCAAAGGTGCTCAAACTTTCAGGATATTAATTAAGTTCAAACAATGATTAATCTTGATTACTGTTACCACCTTGGTCATCATATCTATAAGATTTTATGTTGTCATAATCCTTTGAATTAGAATCTTTCCTTCTTCAAAGATCTCACACACAAAGTGATACCTT